CTGCTGGAAGAGGTGTTAGTGGGGCCAGCAGGGGGCGCTCACCCTGTCCATTGGTGGTGGTGGAGGGGATCCCCATGACCTGTAAAGCGCTTTGAGTGGAGTGTCCAGAAAAGCGCTATATAAGTGTAAGCAATTATTAATTATTATTATTATTACTTGATTATTTTTTCCAGCTTAAATGCCCACATTGCATCCTGGAGCGCCATGTTTAACAGAAGTGACACAAAATATAGACACATGCATCTTGAAAAGCTTTTTTATAGACAGTAGAATGTACGTTAATCGGGTGATACTGGGGCGCAGTGCTTTTCATGCACTGCTTTACAGAGCTCTGGCCCTGGGTTCAATTCTGGACCTGTGGTGCTGTCTGTGTGGAGCATAGAAATGGAATCCAACTCAACATGAGTCGGGCTGCTATGTGTCCATGGCGTGTGCAATATATTCAAGTAGTGCTGTTCTGCTGAATACAGTGAAATCTGTGTCTCCATTGAGCCATTACAGGTGATCTGCTGAAGGAGCTGCAGGTTGGCTGTTTAGCAGTCTTATTGCCTGGATGGTAGAAGCTGTTCCATAGTCTGTTGGACTTGGACCGAATGCTTCGGTACTGTTTACCAGACAGTAGAAGGGAAAACAGTTTGTGACTGGGATGACTGGGGTCCTTGAGACTGGACCTGGCCTTCTTCAGACATCTAGCTGAGTAGATCTGAATAGCCAGCAGCCATATCACCCTGCAACTCACAATTGGTAACCCACTGGAGCTCAGCAGGTGTGAGCCTGGCCAGTACCTGGAGGGGAGACTCCTGGGAAAAACTAAGGTTGTTGCTGGAAGAGGTGTTAGTGGGGCCAGCAGGGGGCGCTCACCCTGTGGTCCACGTGGGTCCTGATGCCCCAGTATAGAGACGGGGGACACTATACCGTAAACAGGCGCCGTCCTTCGGATGAGACGTCAAACCGAGGTCCTGACTCTCTGTGGTCATTAAAAATCCCAGGGTGTTTCTCGAGAAGAGTAGGGGTGTTACCCCGGTGTCCTGGCCAAATTCCCCCCCTGGCCTTTACCCATCATGGCCTCCTAATAACCCCCCTCTCTG